TTTTTGTCTCAAATATATCTACTTTTAATCTGGAGTGGAGCTAGGTGTACACAAAAGTTGTACATAAAAGTTGTACACTTGTCTGTCCAGCGCAAATAAATTGTCTTTCTGGAGATGAGTTGTCTGTCCACCGACAACTCACCTCCGGACAGACAATTTATTTGCGCTGGACAAACAAGTGTACAACTTTTGTGTACACCAAGCATTTTTCTTTAATCTGAAATATGAAAACTTATTTACTGTTTGCAAACAACTGCTCAATCAAAGGAGAATTTCCCAACTGAAATTCTAAGCTAAAATAGAATTGAAAACCTGGCACTTCACTTAGAGATAGTGGTATAGCTAGTTGTGGACCCGGTCCGGTCCGAGTGTCCGACCGTGTAACACCCCCATTTTCCCTTCCAAAATATTACTTGAAATAATATATTTATTCATAATAAACTTGATTTAATCATTCAAAATAGATAAAAAGTTTTGCAGCGGAAATGACATTAAATGGGAAATGGGTGTTACCGTCACATCCGGTCATCTCTTAACCGGATGCACAGGCTATCCCAAAACAATATAGAGTAAAACAAATGTTCAACATAACTGAAATGTTTATTCTTGACTAGGTTTGACTAAGGCATATCTCAACCGCTCTCAAGACCATGCAAATCATCAATCCAAATAAGCATCATTACCTGCACAAATAAAGTGCAGAAAACAAAACAGGGAAAAGGAAACAAAAATTAGCTTTAGAGCTAAGTAAGTACTACCCAACCCCATAAAATAATCAGGTTTGGCGAAAAATAGTTTTTCATATAATACTATATAAAAATGACACACTCCACCAAAATTCTTTTCTCTTTGATATTTCTCAAAATCACTTCTTTAATAAAGTCCTCAACTTTTTTTTGAAAATACTATAGTAACTCTTCTCTTAGAATTTCTCAAAATTCACTTCTTCTCTATCTTCCTAGTAATTTAGAAGGGCGGTGCTCAACACTCTGGTGGAGCCCGGTGGTTACGTTGTTATGTACGGCCACCCCGGGACTTTTGCCGGTACCACAACTGCTAATGGAAACGAAACGACTACTTTAAGTGTGCACACCCCCTAAAAGGGATTCCAAGCCGTCCGAGTAGTAAGTCGTCACGAGTAATCGGGACTCAGTCTACCAACTACCCCACCTTTAAAATTTTTGAATGATTAGGGACTACTACTACTATAACTTCTTAAAAGGGATCATAGATCCAAACGTCACTTCAAACTCAACTGTACTTCTTAGTAGTAGCAGCCCTAATCACCCTCCACATTTATCCGGATATGGAAAACCGACACCACGGATTTCTCTCGGGTGCTCATTTCTTATAAAAACGTAAATTTTATCTTGACTTTAGATATACTTCCAAAAATATTTCTCAATCTCTCTAAATAGTCTCAAAGGTATTTAAAAATATTTAATACCCCAAAAGTACTTAATTAATTTGTATTTCTCAACTACCATATATATAATATCTCCTCAAAATCACATACACATAATTCAAAATTCACACTTAATCACATAATGCATAATAAGCATATAATACGATGAAAACATTTTGGATCGGCAGAGAAACTTACCTGGATTCACAATTAATCCTATTTGAAGCATTTATCTCGATCTTCACAATCACCTTCTAGAATATTGAAGTAATTGAATTAATAATTTATTTATCAATCGAGTTTAATTATTAACCCACTCTAGTTTAACTCATTTATAATTATTCGGCTCAATTAGAACATATATGCTTGTTTCGTTCTGCCTAAACAACTCAGTCCATGCATTTATTTATATATCATCATTTTATACTAGTAGTATTTAACCATCTTCTCTTACAATAACAATTTAAAAGAAAATGAAGCTATCAATTTTTTATTATTATCAAATCTCTTAACCCAAATTGATTTTATAATCATTAGTACTCTGTATCTATTTATTCTTTTTACTCGGTCCATGCAATATACCAAATAACTGTTTAAGCTTATTAGTTTAATTATAGAGTCTTATTATTACTAGTCTAATAACTCAGCCTTTAAGCAGGTAAGTATCAGAATAGGAGTATTACATTATGTGTGTCCTCGGCCAGCGTATGCGGAAGCAGGCAGTGGACCGGCGGCGACTCTTAGATCAGATTCACTCGGACAAAGGTAGCGTGAAAGCGGTCCGACATTTCGGCGAACAACTGAGTTTCTTCTACAGCGAATCCTCCCTTTTCTCAGGCGTCATTGTAATCTCCCCCGGCGTCTGACGGAGTCCGTTCACATCCAGAAGCGGTTTTCCAAACTCCAGGTGGTTCGTTGACCTTCCGACGATGCAGTGAGGTTTGGTCAACACGATATACGACGATACCGTCACGGCGTCACCCCCGGCCAGTAATTCTCACGATTCCAGCGGCGAAGCCACCGTCCTCCGGCACTTTCTTTTCCTTCTATCGACTACGTCTGAACTCTCCTCTACTCACAGAGGTAAGTTTAATGCACATATACGTGTGGTATGTATAATATGCGCAGATGAGCTAGTGGGTATACATATTACGTGTATATATATCGGTGTATGTAGTCCTGTGTATAGCCTTGTAGGAAGGTTCGTCTTAAATGCACTGTATATTGTTGTTTGGCTGATTGATTTGTTTGGCTGGACGAGTTCTACGTCTTTGTACATCTATTATTAATGGAGTTGATATATCATGTCCAAGTCTTAGCAATAGTAGTGGTTTTTTATTATATCTCAATTATTATTACATCTTTGTAAATTGATACGTAGCATAGTGATTTATTATGTTTTAATCAATTATGTTTGAGGAACTATTTCTCAGTTATTATTATGTGTGTGTATGTCGTAAATATATTAGGTTTATAAAGTCACCTTTTATCATTTCTATTACGTAACTTTTATTTGTTATAGTGCACATTTGTACTTAATAATAATCGATACCTTTATATTAAAGTTATTAAAATGTGACTATTATATATTGTCAGTTACACGTCACTTTTGTTATTTAATTCAAGGTCTTATCTGGTTAACATAATTATTGTAAAAATGTCACTTTTATTATCGAACATTTTTATCTTATTAAAACTGTCACCGATGTTAAAATTTTATCTGACTTCTTTAATTATTAAAATGTGACTCTCGTAACATTTTATCTCACTAATAAAATTTATTTATTTTATTTCAATTTTTCGGGGTGTCACAGACCGACACGGGAAACCGGTTCCGGGCCTAGGCCTGGCCCGAGGCGTAACCGGGGGTGGTTCCGGACCTCCGGTGCCTTAAAGAGGTGAACCGGCCCGGCCGGTTTGGGCCAATTTTTTTTTTTTTTTTTTTTTTTTTTTTTTGGGGGGGGGGGGGGGGGGTTGGCCTGGGTTTAGGTGGACTGGGTTGGGTGTTTCCGAGGGGTTTGGGGGTGGGAGGGGATGGGGGGGTAGGGGTTGAAATAAATAAGAAAACAAAAAAAAATTGAACCAGGAACCGGACCGGCCCGGAACCAGTAGACTCCCGGGCCGGTTCCGGGCCTTACAAAAAATGTTCCAAGCCCGAACCAGAACGGGCCCGGTCCACCACTAGGTATAGCTAGTCATGGACCCGGTCCAATCCGACCGGCCCGGCCCGCTACTGTGCGGGACCGGCCCGGCCCGGGGGGTAACGGTAGGCATAGACCGGTTCCGGTCGGCCCGACCCAGGAACCGGCCCGACCCGCCACTATGCGGGCTCGAACCAGCCCGGTGAACGGCCTGAGAACCGGGCCTAGGACCGGCCCGGTGTGTTAGAGCGGTCCAATTCCGAGCCTACCCTTCCTTTGGAACCGGCCCGGTTTGTTAGAGCGGGCCAGGCCGTGCCCGATTCGGGCCTTTTTTTTTTGTTTTTTTTTCAATTTTTTTTTTTGTTTTTCCCGGGTTGGGCTAGATGTTTTGACTTTTGGGGGGTTTTGGGGGATGGGGGGATCGGGGTTGATCAGAAAAGCAAAAAGAAAAAATGAACCGGCCCGAACCCTGTTGCAAACCGGGCCGGTTCCGGGCCCGCCCCCAAAAAATTAAACCCCGGTTTGGACCGGCCCGGAGCCCGGCCCAGCGCTGAACCGGTCCATGCCCAGGTAATGGGGGGCGATTCCGGTACACCAAAATGATGAACCGGCCCAGCCGGTTTGGGCCTCTTTTTTTTGGGTTTGGGCTAGGTTTAGGTGGGCTGGGTAATTCTAAGGGGTTTGGGGGGTGGAGGGATGGGGGATGGAGGGGATGGTGGGTAGGGGTTGAAATAAATAAGAAAACAACAAAAAAAACTAACTGGAACCGGCCCGGCCCGAAACTGGTAGCCTCCCAATCCGGTCACAAGCTCGGCCGGGCCTAGGCCCGAACCGGACCGGTCCCGGTCCACCACTAGGTATAGCTAGGGGTGGATTCTCCCGGTTCTCGACTCCGCGGGGGTGGGTGGGTCCGGGTTTGGGTCTTACATTTGGCGAACCAGCCCGGCCGGGTCGGGCCCGGGTCTGGGCCAAATTGATTTTTTTTTCAGTTTTTGGGGTTCCACCCGGGTTGGGGTTGATGGTCAGGAGGGGTTTGGGGGTGAGGGGTTAGGAAAACCAAAAAAAACCAAACTGGAGGCCCGGCCCGGACTCGATGGCTACTCGGGCCGGTCCCGGGTCCACCAATTTAGAACCGCCGGCCCGCTCGGGCCTAGGCCCGACCCGGACCCAGGCCCGACCCGGACCCGTCCCGAATCTACCCCTAGGTATAGCTCACATTGGGCACAGGGCACTAAAGATTAACTGACGGCAAAGGGTTGCATAAAAATATTTACCAAACACCTCATGACCTCAATGGTCAATGGTTAAGAAGGTTTATCTTTGAATCTTTGATCCTGAAGATTTGCCTCTACGGTCTACTGTGAAGAAATCAGGAAAATAAAGAATCCCAATCAAGAAAGACGAATAGTGAAATGTGAAATGGAAACTGAAGCCAAAAATGACAATTTTATCTTGGCAAAGAGGATTGTAAGTTTCTTATGCATGTATTACTTCATCCGATTTCCAACACAAACTTTTGGAATATGACAAACACAATCAGTTCCTCCAAGCGTGACTTCTAAAACTTGCATGACCAAATCTTAGTGTGACACTGACCAACAGAAGTTACAGAACTCTGTAAATTACTGGACCCAATACTAAAAACAACGAACCTCCACTCCCTAACTCCCTCTGGTCACACACTGACACACTCGCACTGGTTTTGATAAAAAGCTCTAAATAATTTTAAACCATGTAAAATATTAAACGAAGAGCCTCTTGGACACTATTGTGAAGGGAGTATCCATAGCATTCCTATCTCTCTGACCCATTATACTCACATCCTTGTCCATACCTCCTTACAAGTTAAAGTTGTAATCCCCACATTGAGGAGACCAATTATTGCAACATTGCAAGCGCTAATCTAAACGCTAGGATAAACCTCAAACACCCCACTCTTCATCAAGCGGCATTTCCAGTAGTAGCAGATAGAATTACAAAACAAACAAACGAGAAAAAAAACTCCAATAAACACAGGGACCAGGCAATATCACCGACTAAAAAAATACTACTACAACGCGCTGGGAAAAAATATCAACCCAATTTTGGCAGCAACAAACTGAACAAAAACCATAGAAAGCTGGATTACAGAGAAATTGAAGCTTTGCCTCGCCCCATTGTGAATCCTCTTGTCCCATCGGGCATTCTTGGACCAGGTGGTGGTTTTGAGGTTTCAGTACCATGAGCAGGAGAAGGACGCATTCCTTGGACTTCGAAGCGTGTTGTTAAAATATAGAAAAAAAATACCAGCAACTGATTAATAATCAATAATGATGATGATGAGTTGATGATATCAATTACACGCGATAAGCATATAGAGCATTAGAGCATGTTGGTCAATTGATTACCTTGTACGTTTGCTCCACATTTCTGCCTCCTTCCACGTCCTCTGCTCCGGCCTGCATGTCCATCTTTCTCTTTTGGTACATGCTCACCAATTGTCTCCTTTGGTAAATGGCCCCCATCCTATATTTCAAGTAATAAACATGCAAAGTGAATACAAATCTTAATTTCTATAGTGCATAACAAAAGTTACGTAGTACTTATCAGTTATCATCAATCTGATCAGAGCTTCCATCAGAAATACACAGCAAATGATCATGATTCAAATTGCATTAGTCACCATTTCGGTTCTTCTTCCATGCTTCTATTATAGCAAAGTAGTTCTGACAAATTCTACTGCTAACTGAACAACATCTTAACCTTGTAATAATCTAAACCTAAAATTAATCATTGTTCTAAAAAGCTCGAGCTGCAATGATAGAGGGCGTAGCAATGAGGCACGGGAGTGATCACTGATCAAGCGGAGCATAGAAGAATGTGGGAGGCCAAAGAGTTACAATGCCAAAGCAGGTTCTTTTTAGCATAGCGAGCCTGTTTGGGATAACATATGGTATGAGTGTTTTATCATAAAAGCAATTAACTGCTTTTCTGAAAAAGCACACAACTGCTCTCTGCTTTTTAAATGCTTAAATAAGCATTAAAATGCTTTCTAATTATAATAACATAAGTTTTACGCTTTCCTCCAAACACTTCTTTTTTATTTATAATACTTTCATTCTTTTAAAGAGAATTTTGCCCTTGAAAATAAGTCATATCCCATAAGATCTATAAAACAATATCTAAGCATGAGATGTGGAAATATCCTAACAACGACCATTTGTATACTACTCCATGTGATGTCCTTAAATAACTCTCCCATTTAGAAAAGACAACATTATACACAATAAATGCCCACTAAGAAAGACAATAAACTAAAATATAGTAAAAAGACTAAGTTTCCCTCTGATCTATTTGTCTTTTGCTTAATCATACTATGGGCATGATTGTAAAAAAAATGGCAGCCCCAGTGCACATTGGCGTCCCCGCAAGGCGCAGGTACGGGGAAGGGCCCCACCACAAGGGTGTATAAGGAGCAAACATTCCCTTATCCTCTTTGAGAATAGGCTGCTCCCAAAACTTGAACCCGTGACCTCTTGGTCACACAGCAATACCATAACCGGTGCGCCAAGGCTAGGTGTACGATTGTCAATTTAGCAAAATAAAATGACCGCCATAAAAGTCACAATTTTACCTAAATGGGCAACTACTTAAGAAAGGAGAGGGAGTATGTGTAGAACACCTTTTCTAGTATGAAATCAAACTCCACTTTCAATGTATTGAAAGTTGTGAAAGTACTAACCTTTTCATCATGTGAATCAGCATGCTGTTTGCTAGGATGACAGCTCTCCTCATCCACAGCTTGATCAGATGATGCTTCACCACAAGTATGCCTATCAGTGCCTGATTCCCTCCATACTTTTTTTTTCTGTGGCCGCTTTCCCTGAAGATATGAACTCATCATATTTATTATTTATATAGAAAAAAGTCAATTGTCCAAGTAATTTTGAAGGGCCAAACTGGAGCAGAACAAAACAATGGCAGAGCTAAAGCATTCAAACGCGACTAATGACCTCTTTCATGAGAAGTTTCACCCGCAAGCCAAATCTCCAATCTTGTTCATCATTCAAAGTGGCCACCTGCATGAATTTTTCCATTAAAATAAAACAAAACAAAACCTTTAAGTTAGTGTAAGATCCCCACATGTATATAAGTATATAACCAGAAGATACTCAAACTCACAGCTTTTACAGCAGCTTCTTTGGTATCAAATTCCACCAGTGCATGCAGCTGCATAGAAACCAAAAGGTTTCAATTACCTAAAATACATGGGATAAAAACAAAAATAATGACTGAATAGAAAAAGTAAACACAGTTTTTTTCCTATCTTTATGCGCTATAAGTTACACAATTAATGCAAATAGTAATATGTATGACCTACTATAAGAACTTATAGTGCATTAAAATATATAGCACCACATGGTACACATCGACTGTTTCCCTCAAAACAGCAGCATCAACAACAAAGCAATTCCAGAGATATTAAACAATAAACAGCTGCTTATATCAAATTGAACAGTTTCATGTTTCTTAATTTATACGTTAATCATGTACCAAATGGAAAGCATGTGTATGAATACCAGTGTCAGCACCAATTGGGTCCAATTAAATCAATAAGGGTAAAGGTAAATTAAACAAGTCCCCCTACTATATTGAAAAAGTCAATTAAGCCTCAGAACTCAATAATCACCCAATTAAACACCTGAACTTTAAAAAACGTTCAAATCAGCTTTTTGTGAGGTAACCGACCAGTGACCGGGTAAATGTACACACATGGCGACACGTGGCCATTATTCTCTCTCTCTCTCTCTCTCTCTCTCTCTCTCTCTCTCTCTCTCTCTCCCTCATTGGTCCACCTCCCTTTGCAATGCTTCGCCGCCTGGACGCCGCAGCCTTGATGCAGTCGCCCGGTTCATCTCTTGGTCGACATCCAAATGGAGTTCCACAGAATTTCAGGCACTTTCAACTGGGGCAGCAGCTAAAAGCACCCAGATTGTTCTATCAGATGATGAACATAAAGAGTATCTACAACTTAAGGCAGCTCAGCATTCCTTAGCAGCAGTCAACTTTACCGGTTATTCTACAACTTGCCTCTCTTAATCATCACCTGTCAAATCTTGGATCATAGAATTTGGTGCCTCTGACCACACTGTAAATTCAATGTATTATTAAAGAACTTGTGGAATAACAATGGTAGAAAACATGAAAAAAAAAGGTAACGGAGACTAATTCGAGAGCGTACCGCAAATATCCAACTTCTGCCTACTCCCTCCCTTCCTTCCTCCCACTCTTATACTATTTCTATCTATTCTTAAGGGACGGCCCAAAACCCATGACTTACATGGCCCGAAACCCATATTTATACAATATCACAATTATTTAATATCATTCTATTGCTATTATTATTATTATTATTATTACTAATTTACTATTATTATTATTATAATTATTATTATTTTTATTATTATTAAGGAAAATTTGAAAATAATAATCCCAACTATTGCCAATCCGCTAACAATAATCCCAACTATTGATTATTTTTGTATAATCCCAACTATATGGACCCTCCGCCAATAATGGTCCATGACCGGATATTAAGAGTAAAAATTAAGAGTGAAAATTAAAATTTGGGATTGTTTAAAGGGATTATCTGCTATATCTCTTCTCATCCACTTTAGAAACTATAAAAATTTATTTATAGTCGGTCACGCCGGACCATTATTGGCGGGAGGTCTCTAAAGTTGGGATTATTCTGAGATAATCGATAGTTGGGATTATTATGAGCGGACCGTCAATAGTTGGGATTATTACTATCAATTTTTCCTTATTATTATTATTATTATTATTATTATATTATTATTATTATTATTTTCTTTAGCCCCGGATCCTATCATATCTCCCCCGTTAGACAACCACCATGTCCTCAAGGTGGGTGATAGAAAACAACCTTGACCTTCAACTTCAACTTCATCCTGGCACCTCTTCCTTCCCAGTACTCACTGATTGCGAGGGACCATGAGCTTCAGAACTTCCTAGAACTTCATCATCACTTCTTTCACCGCAAATAGGGGTAGAGGCCGGGAATGGAAACTCCCTGGAACTACGTTGTCAAAGATAAAAGTTCCACCGACACCAGTTTCTGAATTGTTCCCATCACCATCTTCATCGCTCAATGACAAGAGACCTGATGGAAAAGGCTCTCTTGTATCTTCCTTTGAATAAATGCGTACCAATCATTGACCATGCTTCTAGCAAGAAAATGAATGAGGTCCTACATGCTTTACATGATAACCAGACTTTGAAGCCTCTACATTGTAATCAATATCATCATATAAAGGTCTTGCAACATAAAATCCATCTGCCCTTGTAGTAGCTTCAGCAGCTACATCACCATGCTTGAGAAGAGCATTGTGGCTTTCATGGCAACAATTATGTTAATGTGAATTTCAAAGAGGGGTTGTGAGAGTAGTGAGACTAATCCTTAACTAGATGACCCTGATTTATGAAAGTTCAGTTCATGCACTCCTGGAAATTCCACATAAGTGCTCAGATCCCTCCTTTATTTTAACATTCACAAGAGACCCATTTGTTGCTCCAAGTACTCCATCCCTTGCAGCTTCATTAACAATCACGTATGGGAGCTGTCAGCTGGAAAGTCAGTCCGCAAAATCCTCGGTAATCCTAGGTAAATTATTGTTGATAATTTTATTCTTTGATTTTGAGAAGCTCCCTCCTACAGCTCTAACTCGTCCAAGCTCATCGGTCGGCATACCAGAAATTGAAATACCAAACGCAGTATCAATTTCAGTAACTTCCATGTTTGTTACTATATAGTTTGGACAACTAGACGATAGAATAGTCAAAAAAACACAAAACATAAGTGACAATTGATTTCCTGGATGTTGTCAGCTGGCACTTGTTCAACCCCACCATAGACACAGTATCTCCACGACAAGGCAGTGGTTCGGCAAGGAGTTCGGCAGCATGAAGAGATGATGGCACGTGAACTTGCAGCACCACAAGAGTGGGCTCAGCCACACGCTCAGTAACCGAGGCATTTGCTGACTTTGTCACAAGGCCCTCACGATATCTTATACCCTCATCATCCATAGTAGTCTCAAGCACTTTTTCTTTTGTAAGTACTTGTGAGGAATCATCCGATAAAACAATTTCATCAGCTAACAAGTTCTCTTTCTCTGAAACTAACTTAGGACTGATTTGCATATCTGTAGTATTTTCATCCATTGGGGGTGAACAACAAACAAACTGCTCTGTATCGCTTTGTTGAGTTTCTAAGAACCATACCTATGTTTTCCAAGGATCTTCCGGATTATCAGGTAGATTTCCCGTAGGTTGCGACGTATCCGCTTTAGTCTCCGGCTCCTGGAATGAAGGTGCAGCTGTCTTCAATTCTGTATTCATTGCCGTTGGTTGAGTCCCCTGTGATCCCTTTCCTGATGCGACTGAGTCGATGGTTCTGGAAGCGGATAAATCTGGTGTACTGAAAGAAGATGCTGGCGATTGAGACGATATCTGCAAACAAGTAGAAACGATTCGCGCCTGCGAACTGGGAGACGAAGTTCGCGATTGCGGACTGGAAGACAGCTAGAGATGAAGTCAGCGAACAAATAGATTCTGCTTGCGATCGTCCTTGCCGGCAACGTTGTTGGCACAGCTTGGTGCACATCTTGTCAAACCAGATCCTCATCTCCTTCACCTAATCACTTTCATTCTTTTCCGTGAGCTTCTCCACTTTTCCGCACTCAACCTTTTCCACGAGCTTCTCCACTTTTCCGCGCGAAGCATCGGAGGCTTAATTGACTTTTTCAATATAGTATGGGGCTTATTTGACACTTTCCCAATCAATAACAATTCCAACAGTGGACTTTTTAACCCATACCTTGCCGCTAAGCAGCTTTTCTGCAACTGAACACTTTTTTGAACTTATTTCAACCTGCGGTTCGCGAATACTGATATGCTGGATACTACAAAGTAAATATATAGAAAAGCATTTAAAAAATCATAAAGCAAAAGCATGTTTAGTGGAGAGTAAAAAGAATAGATGCTTACTGTCCAGCCAGACTAAATAGTTGCTTAAGATCTTCCACTGAGTGATCCGCTGGTAAGTTCTCCACCAATACAGTGCATAGCTATTATAAGGTAAATATTAAGATACTTTTGTTCTTTATGAGCAATATCTTTGTATTACTATGAAAATAAGGATGGAAAATATTTAAAAAAAAATACCTGGGGGTCCCTAACCCCAGTGTATGGGAGAGGATTCAGTCTCTTCACTGCTTTCTCATCAGAACTGACAACCTGTGCATACACACCAGGTGGGAGAACATGGAAGGAAACCAAAATCATAACCACAAGAATTCATTACGGGGGAAACAACAGAATGCACTCTTCAAATCTTGTTCTAGTAAGCCCTAACTTTAATATATTTCATTTCATTGACATCATATAAGTCTAAGGATCATCATGTTACATTGTGAGAAGCCTGAAGCAGCATTGAGTAATCTATATATATATAAAAGCACAATCGTGCAACATGCTGAACAATCCTGACCATAGATGTATAACACGTGTGTTTTATCTGTAAAATAATTGACGGACCAGTTACTAAATACGTGGTGCAAGTATAGACAGTTTCCACTCGGCCACTCCTATGCTAATTGCCGAATAGCTAGCGGTGGTTTCCTGATCGACCAATCCAAACCAACCAGCTACACATTAACCACCTGGCCGACACTTTAGATTGAATATTATATATATATATATATATATATATATATATATATATATATATATATATATATATATATATATATATGAGGAATGTTCATGTCAGGCCGGCCTGACGGGCTGCCCCGTCCGGCCGAGACCGTTTGGGCACCTTCCCGGTGGAATTTTTTGATGAAATTTTTTGAGCATGTTCCTCATCAAGTCTAGTTTGTCCATACCAAATTTCAGCTCAAAATTCGATCGGGAAGGTCGTCAAATGATTTTTGCAAGTTAACTGGTCCGGAATATGTATTTTCCGGACCAGTTAACTTGCAAAAATCATTTGACGACCTTCCCGATTGAATTTTGAGCTGAAATTTGGTATGGACAAACTAGACTTGATGAGGAACATGCTCAAAAAATTTCATCAAAAAATTCCACCGGGAAGGTGCCCAAACGGGCTCGGCCGGACGGGGCAGCCCGTCAGGCCGGCCTGATGAGAAGAGCTCTCATATATATATATATATATATATATATATATATATGACAACACAAGTAGGTAGTATCATGGCGGTCGAGTGCTGAGAGTGCATATGAATTAGATCAAGTTGAACGGTTGAAGTAAACTCACTATCCTAATTCATATGCACTTACCCTGCGGCTGAGATCAACTGCCTAAGGATCAGAGTGCATTTTTGCATCGGTGTTGTGTTTACTGAATTTTATTTATATAAGAAGTAATTGGATCCAAGCTTACTCAAAATACTTCAGGTATTTTTATAAATTAAACGTACGTAATTTATTTACTCTTTAAGTTTAAGCCACATGCTAAATTATGGGTACGAGTAATTGATTCATATATATACTTTTGTGTAAATAATGATATGGGTATAGACGCATAGTCTATGATGTACTACATTTAATTTATTCAAATTTAAAATCACATTCAGATCGATCACATGTATGGGTCAATTAAGTACTTATTCATGAAATCATGAGATCATATCTGCTGGGCTGGTGCTTAATTTTTATTAACTACATAATCTTATGTCAATATACTTAAAATATTTGTTTAATGTTGCATATGGTAGCTTTTACCATATAATCACGGAATTTTAAAAAACCATGTAGTTCTAACGTGGAGTCTCATAAATAACTACGCACTTTAATTTGTATGAAATACGTAGTATGAAAAACTTTATCAGATGAAGCATGTAAACAGGTATATATATGGTATATCCTCTGTCTTAATCAAATATTATGCCAAAATGGTTCATATATTCAGAACGAACATGCATAAATCACTAAAAGTAAAGATGTTAGAAACCTAGAATTAAAGTTCATTTCTCCCTCAGTCCCAAAAGGTTTGTCAATTTGATTTTTTATTTGTCAATAACAATCAATTTGGATCAATGATATTTTTTAATACGAAATTATTTTGAATATATGAAAATTGTATCAAAATGTTCTTGATTTAAAATATTTTCATAAAAATATAAAATTTAATAATTATAAACAAATATAAACACAGTTTGGTTTTCAGTGTTATAGTACTTTTTAATTGACTAAATATTCCTATAAACCATAAAATTAGCACACTATAAATTTTAGCCATAAAAAAACTGAATTTATCTTTTGAAGAAATTAGCATGTCGTTTATATTGTTTCTCTGTGTATTTAGTTACTTTTATATATGTATTTATTGAAAAACTTTATATATGTTGAATGTTACCGTATGCGGAGTATGTAATATGTAGTAATATGTTATTCCAATATATTTTGAACTAAATATATCTTACATTAATATTTTAATTTATCGAACATCGTAAAGACAACAAAGAAAAAATTTATCCCGTGCATCGCACGGGTACAATACTAGTTCATATAAAGGATTATACATTTTACATGCTTCTCGTCCTCCTTCCCTTTGTTCATTTGCAGGATAGTGGCAATTGTATACTTGTATACCATATAATAGCCCATGTTCTTGATTTGAATCAAGAGACAGGAAGAAAGCAAACTTCACAACATGACCAAGCTGCTTAGCTAAGACATTTTGCCGACGTCTGTAATATCCATCTTTTATTTTATACAGAGTACCACTTTATAGATATGTTGCCTTTTACTTCCAAAATGAAATTGATAATCAGGGCAAGATTAAAAATAAAGAGGGCATATGGGAATAAATTTTGAGATAAATGGGCCTGTCGAGACAGAAAGGGTACAATGCTAGTCTCCATGAAGGCCTGAATTATAGATGCCTTGGAAAGGGATAACAGCAATTTTGCAGGAAAAATATATAGACAGAAAACAAGAAGTTAAAATGAGCCTTTAAAATTAAGGATGATTACCAGAAGAGAGGATTCCTTGAGTGCAGTCACAATCAGTGGTATTTCTTTCGTCAGCTTCTTCATTCTTTTGAATGAAGCAATAACGTTGAGAGGAACTGCAAAATATATGATGAGTCTTCAGTTCTTATACAATGAAAAAACTACCAAGACCATGAAACTTTATGCCAGAGTATGCCATACAGATGGGCACAAATTGTGAAACATCCTCTCTCAATATACTTACCAAACCCTTCTTCATTGTTGGTTACATATTTCAAAAGGAACTTATCAGTGAGCAAATTTGCATCACTGAAGTAATATTCCACCTGCAAGGCCAAACAAATCCATAAGCTTTTCTAAATCCGACAAGATATAATGTATCTTATCACAAAAAAATGATAAATAGAGTAAGCCTACTCAAGTCAAGACCAAAAAATTACACAATACAATTAGGGCCAGTTTGGATGTAGAAAGTTGGAGAAGCAAGTCTATACTTTGACACATTGTTGAGAACAGAAAAAAATAAAATCAACGGGGTAAACCGTTGCCCAGATAATCAACGATAAAAATCAAACCATTGCCCAGAACCAAAAGGCTAAATTCCAATTTTATTCATAGATAAGCAAGAATGAATCGTAATCGTAACAAGGGTTTAAATACCCATCTACTAATTCTCAAACTAGGAAACAAAATCATAGAAATCCTAATCAACTCCAACTAGGAAACAGAAAAATAGAGATCCTAATTATCTCCAAATAGGAAACAAATAATAGAAATCCTAATTAACTCCTAATAGGTAACTTCTAATAGTCGGAGCAAGCCAGAGTACATGGAAGTTTGGTGGAGGTAGAAGCAGTGGTAATAGCGGAATTACTCTAGATGTAAGGACATACCGGTCAGCGATATGTTCCGTTACTTGGAACGGTGAGTTAGACGGAGATGTATCCCATAGAATCAGAACATGGTGGATGAAGTGGAAGAGTGTGTCAGGTTTTCTTTGCGATGGAGGTATGCCGACTAGATTGAAGGGTAAATTATATAGGACAGCAATTAGGCTTGCATTACTGTGTAGAGTGTCGGGCGGTGAAACAATGTCACATTCAAAAGATGAGTGTGGCAGAGATGTGCATGCTGCGTTGGATGTGTGGACATACTAGAAAAGACCGCGTGAGGAATGAGACAATTTGACAAAGGGCGGGAGTAGCACCTATTGAAGATAAGATGAGGGAGTCATGGCTACGATGGTTTGGTCATGTGCGTAGAAGACCGAGTGATGCACCTATCAGACGAGTTGAGATGTGTGGAGAAGAGGCAGGGAAGAGAGGGAGAGGAGGCCCAAACAGACGTGGGTTAGGAGTCAGAAGTGATATGCTTCTTTTTAAATTGGATGAGGGTATGGCTTTGAAGAGAGAAAAGTGGAGGGCGAGTATTCGTGTGGAGGAGTGATCTCGTATCATATTTTCCCCTCATCTTTTTTTTCCTTGTTTCTTTATCCTTTTATCCTTATATTTATATATAAATACTATATTTATCCTTTTTTTATTTTATCATTTTTATGTATATTCATCTCTTTTTGTTTTATCTTTTTTATCTTTATTTTCTTTCTTTTCCTTTTGCTGGTGATATCATGTATCGATTCATGTTAGCCGACCCCAATATCTTTTGGGATTAAGGCTTGGATGTTATTGTTGAGGAAACAAATCAGGAAAATTAAAAAGAATAAAAGTTAATTAAACAGCCCGCAACCAGCCCACGAAGGTGGGCTCAAGCCCGTCCCCGCCTTCAGTAAACCCACGGGGGCTGATGCCTCTCTTCTTCCAAGCCTAGATTCTGCTTCATATGAATTACACCCCCCTTCGGAAAAACCTTGTCCTCAAGATTGAAATTCGGAAACCGGCTAACATTTGTCCCCGAGAATTCCTCCAGCCTTGTTATTTCGCAATAATCATGTTGTTGCAAGTCAAGTTCTTCATCTTCTTCAGCTAGCATCACCTTTAATTGTTTGAAAAAACAATCGTGCCCCGACATGAAAGGTTTCCAGCACTTAAAGCATAATCCCTTGGCTCGCAGTTCTTCTAACACCTTTGGGGGAGCCTGGTGAACCTGGAGTGTGCAGTATACTGCTCGTACAACCCTGAATTTGTCCCGGGGCTGCCCACTATCTTTCGGGAAGCTGCCATTTGATCCTTGTATGCTGCCACCATTGGTGGTCAATGGAGGATTATAATTTGGATTGCCTCTTCCTCCACTCTGAACAGACAGATTTTGCTCCACATCGCGAGCTAATTCTATGGCCTATTCCAAGTTAATCGGTCGAAATAAGCGCAACGAGGTTCGGATTGATTCTTTTAGTCCATTCATGCAGTAGTCCAAATAATGATCAACCGACAACCCCGAAACTTGGCTGGCCAAGTTTGGTGCCGGATAACCGTTCAAACCTATTCCCCTTAAATCTGGTGTCGAATCTGGTTAAATTCTTCCCAAGTCATGCCGGGAATGCGTGTTCGTAGCCAGGTTACCGATAGAGGGTCCCACCTTCCATGGCAACCACAACGGCTGTCACCTTTTCCTCTGATAGGGTTCCGTTCAATTCGAATTGTTTTTCAACTCGGGCTATCCACCCAATCGAGTCTTCTCCGAGGGCAACAACGCTAGAGCGGTGTTGTGCGCAGGACTGTCGTGGTTGTACGCTGTTAATGCAACGCTGTCGACTACGTCCGAGGGTACTTCCGATGTGACCGGCGGCACAAGGGCCTTGAAAAGCGCCGCCAGGGATGCAACGATCTCGGCCAGTCTCATGCCTGTTTCTTCGAGGGTTTGATTCATCCTTGTTTCATCCTTGTTTGCTCTGCCGCCATCCCTCTCAAGCGAATGTTCTGATATCTCGTCATTCGGGCGGGATGGGATCCGGCAAGTCGAACCAATTGTTGAGAACAGAAAAAAATAAAATCAACGGGGTAAACCGTTGCCAAGATAATCAACGATAAAAACCGTTGCCTCAATGCCAAAAGGCTAAATTCCAATTTTATTCATAGATAAGCAAGAATGAATCCTAACAAAGGTTTAAATGTCCATCTAATAATTCTCAAACTAGGAAACAAAATAATAGAAATCCCAATCAACTTCAACTAGGAAACAGGATAATAGAGATCCTAATCATCTCCAAACAGGAAATAAATAATAGAAATCCTAATTAACTTCTAATAAAAAATAAATAAATAATAGAAATCCTAATTAACTTCAAATAGGAAACAAATCAGGAAAATTAAAAAGAAAAAAAAATAATTAAACAGCCCGCAACCAGCCCACGAAGGTGGGCTCAAGCCCGTCTTCGCCTTCAATAAACCCACAGGGGCTTCTGCCCCTCTTCTTCCAAGCCTAAATTCTGCTTCATATCACATATATTTGAGGTTCTATGAAAATTGAAGGGATAACATTATATGTGACACATGACATTTCAATTTCATTTTACTTGTTATAAAAAATAATTTAGAGAAAAGGGTCAAATGAGGTCTTTTACTGTTATGAAACTGTCACATAAGGCCATGTACTCAATAAAGTGTCATATAAATATGTCTACTTATAAAAAGCAATCGGATGAATCCTAATGACCTATTGACAACCTCGTAATCTTGGTTTTAGCGTACGTCTGGCAATCTTATTAAAATAGATTGTAAAGTTGACATGAAATATTTGGTTAGGATTGACATGTATGCTAAAATGGGGACTATGAGATTGTCAACAGGTCATTTTGTCATCTGATTGCTTTGTACAAGTAGACGTACTTATATGACACTTTATTGAGTACAGGACCTTATGTGACGATTCTGTCATAGTAGAAGACCTTATTTGACCCTTTTCCCAAAACAATTCTGTTAGGATGGCAATGGCCAATGAGACGGGGGGCATGGGCACCTACCTTGCAGGGTAGGATTGGGGTGAGGCAGTGGGATTTCCCCCCACCTAAATATGGGACTAGTGATGGTGGTGATTGATGAAACTCCTGCCCAAACTTCCGCCCATCCCCGCATAAACACACACTATGTTGCACGGATATGGAGACGTTGATACGCCGATACGGGTGCGGCGATACGGCAACTTTGAAAATTATAGGATACGGGTATAGTGATATATTTATAAATAATAATAGTATAGGGTATAATTTACAAATATATATATAATCTAGATGTTCATAAATAAAACAATAATTGTACCAAAAATTAATAATCATAATAATATTTCAAAGATTAGATTAAAAATAAAATTAAAGCACTGGTATTTCAATTTAAATTCAAATAACACCTGATTCACTATTTGCATTTACATCTAAGTCTTTTAACAAGATAGATTCCAATTCAGGCTCATGAAACGACAAATGGGCAAATTTAAGCATTCCATTATCTCCCATACTCCTAAAATCATCTTTACCGTTGTCCCAGATCTTATGTTTCTTACTTACATATCAAACGCAATTGGTTAAGATGCGAATTGAATTGAAACTTATCAAGTGTATAAGAGAAAAAGAAGGTGTATTAGATAAGGGATGCAGATGAATGCTGATGAAGAACGAGAATTGATGATTGAGGAGTGAAGCGTTGTGATCCCCTAAGTTGTCACTTTATTCTCGCCAGGTCATGTATGACATTAAAGTTATAGGGTTGGATACACGTATCGGTCCATGGATATGTGTATCAGAATTATTTATATTTTTAAAAATAAAGCCAATACTTTTATTAAATTACGGATACGGACTCAATACGTACAAGACGTGTGTATCAGTGAGTATCAATATCGGAAACGTATCAGATACGCGGATACGGTGTCCGGGCAAAGTATCAGTGCACTATAGAACACACATACATACATACACACACGTGTATAATTAATATGTACAACCCGCATAAATATATACAAAATGGGCAGCCCGGTGCATAGTGGCATCCCCGCAAGGAGAGGGTTCGGTGGGGTCCCAATCACAATTCACAAGGGTATATAAGGAGCAAATCTTATCATTTTTTATAAAAGCTACTTCCAGGAGTTGAAGATGTGACCTTTCGATTACACAACAATACCATAACCGGTGCGCCAAGGCTCCAATTCACCCGCATAAATATATATAGCATTAATTATATTCTATATAATAATATACTAACTCAGTATTCACGCTTTTACTTTCATTATTTAGACAATACTTACTCAAATGAAAAAATCATTTAATGTGATGGTTGGTAATTTTTGTCGTACACATTATTAATTAGTTTAAATGATTGTAATGGTAATGTTGTGTATATTTAATTAATCTAAAATACAATGCAAACAAGATAAA